ATATATATATATATATTAATGAAGATTTGTTCATAGAAGTCATATATATCAAAAAATATATTTTTGTTGCATGTAAGAGAATTTGTGATGGTTAGGGAAGAAATTATGATCTTCATATTATATAAAAATTTAATGCCTATAAATGAAAGAAGAGTTTCAGAGGAGATTATAGTTTTAATATGAAAAATCCAAAAAGAAAAAAAAATTTCAAGGGCTTGCCAGTTGTCACAATTAAATTGATGCAATATCATAGGCTAAAAAGGATGAATTTACTCATAATTGAGAAAAGTGTTGGTACAATATTATTAAAATTGACACATAAAAGATATTTCATGATAAAATTTGAAGCAGTCCTGAAGTACTTAAGCTATTAACATGAAATTATTTATAATATATTTGAAAGAAAAAAAAAAAAATCTAGAGACAAAGTTGTCGTGTATAATGGTTTTTGCCTCGGATGATATATATCAATCTTATTAACGATTGCATACGTCAATGTTGTTATCGGTGATAGACAATAAAGTAGGCAAATTTTAATATTAATGTCAATAACGCGCATCAAACATGATAGTAGTATCATTTGATAATGACATGCATCAATGTTATGTAGTAATCTTATAAGTGATGGTGGATGACAAAATTAGAAGGAGTTGGTGATTAGAAGACCGTAAATAGGTCATGGAGGGTGAGAGTTTGCAATTGAGCAACATTGCTTGAGTGGTTGTAGTTAGGTAGCGTTGGTCGGTGAACATAATAGGATAATGGTGGTCAAACAGTTATAGTTGTGTGATAATGACTGAGAGGTCAATCATAGCTAGGAGATCGTGATTAAGAATCTATAACAGGTTAATGAAGATCAGACGCTTATAGCCAGACGATGACAATGTTTGCAGTTTAATGGTATTCAAGAGGAATATGATGATTATCATCAAGTAGAGCTCAAATACCCTCCATATCTCTAAGTTCTTTTAAATATCTATTACAACTCCCTCTTCTACATAGAACAATAGTCTGTTTGTAGATTTTAATTAAAAGCGATTAACGTTATAAATACTGTTAAATTATAAAACACTTTATCAAATGAGAGAATATTATGTATGAACGGTCGCACATTCAATCACGGGAGGTCACCTCACCATATATATGATTTTGTGCAGACGCAGCCTCTCGGGATTGAACCATGGATGTGCAGGTTCATTCGTAATATTTTCTTCTATCGAACAGATTGAAGTAGGTACCTTGGCCGTAAAGTAAATTTTTATTGTTTAGTACATTAGTGATGTTGAAAATAAGCAATTGTGGGTTTATTAAATATGTCTCATTGAGTTGCTTAATTTGCTAATAAACTTGTGGTAAAGTAAATTTTTATTGTTTAGTACATTAGGGATGTTGAAAATAAGCAATTGTGGGTTTATTAAATCTATCTCATTGAGTTGCTTAATTTGCTAATAAACTTGTGAATTTTAAAGATGATTCTACAATTAATATTTGAAATCATTTATATTATACTTTAAATACTTAATCTAAGCTAATTTTAAAGATGTGCAGGTTTGTTCGTAATATTTTTAATTTGTCTCATTGATCAGACATTAAGTTTTGTTGCATGCTAAAAAATTCACAATGGTAGAAGTGAGAGTTTATTGTCTACTTTATCATATTAATCATGCACAAAGATTCTACAAGCACACAATGAAAAACAAAAACAAAAGTCACCCAAATTTTTTTAAATGGAAAGCCCAATAATAATAAAAAAAAAACTTATCAGGCTTAACGCAATTGAAATGATTACACTAAATAAATGAGTGTTACAAGAGCTTCATCTATTGCTTGAACAAAGAAATTTAATGTTACCGGAGTGTGGAATGTTGATGTGGTTTTCTTTGAAAATAGCAAAGAGAGTGGAAATATAGTGATTATCAGACAATAATGGTGGTTGCAGCCAGGTGATGTTGGCATGTGCTTGTAGTGGAAGTTAGTCGAGTTACGATGGTCTTGCAATGGCAATGAGACTTTCTGATTGCTATCCTTCAAGGACATAATGTTGAACAAGAGTGGTCTAATGAAAGGAGCGCAGTGGCTTGGTGACAACGAAACTGACCAAGCATCACTGGTTTGATGGCGATTGCCATTCGTTGCTAGATTTGAACTTTCTTTAAGAGTGTGAACTTAACTTTTAGTTTATTCACTTGTTCTCTTAATGTTAAAACTGTGATCCTATTTATAGAATTTTGGGAGGGTAATTTAGACAATGAAACTGACCAAGCATCACTGGTTTGATGGTGATTGCCATTGGTTGCTAGATTCGAGATTTCTTTAAGAGTGTGAACTTAACTTTTATTTTATTCACTTGTTCTCTTAATGTTAAAATTGTGATCCTATTTATAGAATTTTGGGAGGGTAATTTTGGTAGATTTAACTTGGTAAATTTAACTGAATTTCAATGACATCTATCGAATGTTCGATGTTGATTTCTTTGATCATATATTATTCTTTTAACATTTAATTGTCTAAATGATATCAAAATTGAGTGATCTTACGCACTTTGGATTGCTCTCATTGAGATATTTGATTTGACTATAAACATGCTAAATTTGAAGATTAGTTGATATTTCAATTAATGATATCATTGGGCTTGTATTTTCAAGATTTTTTATTTGGCTATTGAAGCTTGATTCATCTTGAATTTCTCTTAATTCTTTTCTTAACATACATTAAAATTTGTGCCTGATCATGTGAATTTTCCAGTGACGCACTAAATGCAACTACAAATATGTTGAAATGGAACTTTTGATGTTGATAAATTTGACTTCAAAAGTTATCAAATTCTAATTTGTTGTGAAAGAACTAATTTTTTTCTTTCATTATTGGGCACCATATCTTTTTTTACCACAACTCAAAAAAAAGGTGAAATTTACATACATACCAAGCAATTCTTATGCATTTACATAGCACCTAAACTTTGGTATTTATATTATAACATTTGGGTATTAAAAAATATAAGTAGCACAATTCATGCCTCTTCAAAATATATATGTATATATATATCATGAGGAAACCATGTAATAAAATGTATTCAATGAAAGAAAATGAAGGCTCCACAACCTTCTCTTCATAAGAGTGACATCAATTTTAGCTCAAATGAAGTTGACCTAATTTAAATTAAAAGTGTTTGATTCTAATTTAATTCTAAAATGATTTGACTATTCAAAACCGATCATAATTGACTCTTAATTAAAAACGGGTATATAACAAAAAATTGCTCTTCTTGGTTGACTCCAACTATGGTTGAATAAGTCATGCAAATTTAAAACTAATCTCAAAGCCAGATGCATTGGAACTCGGCTCATTCTAAAATTCAGTTGTGCAAATTGCTTAAATTAAATAATTGGTTTTAATGCTTCTTAATATTAAGTTTGAATGGTCTAGAATAATTTCATTCATGCTAGTTTAGATATTCATAGGCACAATTGTCATCATCAATTCTTGACCGTCTTGTTGATTTTGCTATTTGAAACTCTTGTATGTTTATAAAATAATGTGGACTTGCACTCGGGTCGCAATCATTGAAAATTTATGTTAGGTATGTTCTCTTAATATACTTGCTTCTATACAATTGAAAATAATTGATGCACGTCGGAAGATTCGGGCAGTAGAATAATCATTTAATGTTTTAACGTTTAATTAAGATCCAACACACATATAGATAAAAGAGAAGTAAGCAGGAGAAGATACCTCGATTTTTACGTGGAAGACTCTAGAAGGGATACTCTGTCAAATTAATTAACTATGTAATTACGAGTACAAAGTATACTCTTCTCTTGAATTATAGAAGATGAAATTATAAAGTTGATGTATAATGATATTTCAACAACAATTATGGTGACATAGCACAATGACCGTAGTTGATTTCTATGGAGTCAGTGGTTCATCTTGAATGTTGTAGATGATGGTTGTAGCGTCAGTTAGTTTTAAGGGCTATATATAATTGAAAGTCACGGAAGTAGTTAACTATGTAGGTCGTAGATTGTTGTTTCAAAAGCATTGGCTGGCCACAAAGGCCGTGGTAGGGAGTTGTAAGAGTTGTGGATCATGTAGGTTGTAGTTGGTTATGTATGTTGTAATAGTGAGCCGCAATGACGTCCGTAGGTCATAGAGGTCGGAATTGGGAGTTCTATGAGTTGTGGACCACATAGGTAGTAGTTTGCCACACAGTGAGCTACGACAACATCCGTAAGAAATAGAGGCTGGAGCTGGGAGGTGCATGAGCGTTGGACCATGCACGTCATAGTGGGTCATGCATGTAATAGTGGTGAGCTGTGATAACATCTGTAAACCACAGAGGCCCCAGTTGCGTGATGTATGAGCTATGAACCACTTAATTTATAGTTTGTCACATTGATCATAGTGTTTGGTTGTGATGAAGTCCGTAAGACATAGAGGATAGAGTTGAGAGAAGCACGAGTCGTGGATCATGTAGGCCATAGTGGGTCATGTAAGCCAAAGTGTTGAGCTACAATAACGTCCATAAGCCACAAAGGTTGAAGTTAGAAATTGCATGAGCAGTAGACCATGTAGACCATAACTATTCATGTAGGTTGTAGTCGTGAGTTGTGATAATATATGTAGGACATAGAGG